AATTTCAAGGCCTATTCTTCAAATCGTTACTAAGATTTCGCTGCGACGTCAAAATTCAACATTCATGTGCGCTTCCTTATACAAAATATTTCTTCTGATTACTGTGCAGTCGAATAGAAATATTTGAGCAGCACAATGTTTCTCCTCAAAAATCACAGCTTAGATTGGTTGAAGTCTTTCTAAAGCCAGTTTGTTTCTAATTATTCCCAAGTGAATTCGGCAAGTTTTAGATTACAATGGCAGACGACCAACGTCACGATATTGCCGAGCTCTACACAAAGATGACTTTAGGGCAAATGAAGCAACAGCTGCCAAATTTCGATTGGCAGCTCTTCTTCAATCAAGTCTTTCGTGAGATCACCGATCAGGTAAGCTTTTTATAAAGGAGAAGGATAAAGGATAAAGCATTTGCCGTTGATCAATCCCTTTTTGGGATGCGGCACGCATTCTACTTCCATTTGTACATTCGTAGTGGCGTTTGAATGCGATGTGGCCTATACAATGACTTGCGGGGGCCAGCCGATGTACAAGTCAGTGTTTATCCTCCCAGACAAGTCTGGTACCAATTAACCGACCCCGGAGGGATGGAAGGCTTGGTTGGCCCGGGCGACTCACGACCCAGGATTTGATCCCCGGACCGCTCGCGTGGTAAGCGTGCCACTTGCCACTACACCACTTCCGCCCTTTTTATACTGTTGCGGGAAACTTGTAAACATCAAAACTTGTCCGGAAGAACAGAAATGCCCTGACGTATACACCGGCTGGATCCCGTAGGTCATTGTAAAGGCCGAAGCATTCCAGTTGCCGCTATACTTATAGGCGTGGCGCATCCGACTTCGAGTCTGATCACACCAAATGCTTTATCTTTTCAATTCTGTTATACTTTTTATGCTTTGTTGTACAGAGCAGTGGGCAGGCAGCAACGTTGCGTCTTGGCGTCAGAGTGAATTTTTTTATGCTGCTAAAGGTCAGGGGGTTGCATGTTGATTCCTGGATCACGGTCTGCGGGTGATAGAACACTCGCTGCAGTTGGGTGCTAGCGTGAGACCACTAATCACAGACGAGTTAACGGGAAGCAGGATTTCACAAATACTGCCATGAAACGGCTCGAATGCATGATGCTTGGGCAAAACCGCTTCCCTTGAGACTGTATCCACTGCTAACTTTTTTTTCAGAACGGCACCCAAATCGTATTCGATGAGAATGCTGAGGTGGTGGTGTATGGTATCGAATTCCTTCGTCGGCTCGACAAATTGCTTCCTGAATACGAGAAAAGGTAGTCATTTATCCGTTGTTGGAAAGGCCTTTGTTCGTTTTACGAGGAATGATTATTACTTATTCCGAATGGGAAATCCGCCCTGAAAAATTGAGCATAGGACTAGAATCTGAAGATTCAAGTATCGGACTGTTCAAAAAATTCTCCCCCTGACTCGTTCGTAAACAGTATGAATCCAGTCTAGAGAGCAGCGATATACGCGGTCTCACCTACAACTAATAGTAGATGGTTGGACCGGTTTTTTTCGAAATGGTTTTCTGCATTTTGAAGGGGCTTCTACGAAACACAGAACCATGATTTATTTCCCTGAACGGCCACAAGAACGTCAAAACAGTGATGGAAAAATGGTTCCGAGTTCGATCCCCCGGTGATGACTAATTTTTGCAATATAGTTTGGCGCCCCCAGATTGCCGCCAAATGGCGCCATCGTCGAGAATAGATGTCATTGTCGTGTTTTGCGGCAATTTGGAGGCGCCAACATAAATTGCAAAAATTTGTCATCACGGAGGATCGAACTTTGGACCACTTCTCCCCGCTGTTTGCTTTCTTATGGGGACGTTCAGGAAAATGGACATTGGTTCTGTGTCCTTAGCATGAGCCTCCACAATAATCAGAAATCGTTTGAAAAACGCTCCATGTACTGAAAGACTCCCCTTGTCGGAGCTCAATATAGACAAGTGGCAAAGTAATATCATACAACATGTTCAAGTTCGAACGCAAGTGATGGGTGAAGAATGGCGTGGTAATTTCACTCTACAGCCAAGGTAGGGTCGCGAGGTGGGCCGAAATTGGAAAACAGGGTAGAAAAAATCGTCAAAACTACAGAAAATACGAATTTCTTTGTTTTACGCTGTGAGAGATCCGAGAAGCACACAGCGAGATAAGAGATACTGTGAGTCCGCGGAGAGGGTAAAAAGTCACGTCCAGACAGCAGAACAGGTCAACATTACAGATAAGATGTAGAACAGTGGGTATGCCCTGATAGATTTGGTGGGATATGATCAAGGTCCTTAGCAATTTAGTGACGCGTTTCAAGGGAGAAAGGTAGCGCGACCTCTACAGTTGCAAATCTGGAACCCCTAGACTATGGAGTGACTTAGACAGTTGAGGTGAGCCATAAATCTTGGCTCTAACTCATACACTAAATGTCAGTGACAGCAATCAATTTTATCTCACATACTCGAAATCCTCGTGGTTGGCCGTAGAGGCATATGTATATCTAACAGCTAATTCAGGATAGTAACGCAAAAAGAAGTCTCTGTTATAACAAGTACTAGGGCCGGTCGGAAAAAAACCCGTCCCGAAACTTTATGCGAATATGACAATAGCCAAATGGCCTTGGGATCGGTCTCATGCTCCTTCAGCAAATACCTCTCGACGCCACAGCTTCTCATTTGCTCTCTCTCAGAAGGACCCCAATTGGGAGGAGAAGAAGTTCTCTAGCGCTTTCTTAAGCTCGTTTACAATCTTGAAATGTTTCCTTGCAGAATATCTGAAGGTGGCCAAAAAATGGGTTAATCGGGTAGGGCGGGATCATAAAACCACCAGCCAATCATCCACCTCCAACAACCTGAGGCTCAACGAGTGAGGTCGTAGTGGAAATTGATGAGTAATGTATTTAGTTCAAGAAGTCGTTATCGCAGCGGCCAATGTTAAGCTTTTGAAGGACTTGGTTGACTATCAGCCGCCCCGATGACATTCATTACTAATCCCGGTCCATGACTGTGATCGGGGCTGGCTGATAGTCAGGTCCTTCAAAAACCTAACATTGGTCGCTG